TTTATTATAAAATTAAAAGTGAAGAGGGTTTTATATCCTAAAATACTTTTGCTTTAGCGCCTCTGGCCATGGCTCACTTTACTTGTACACATATCAAGAGGGATGGTACCGTCTGTGGAAATAATTCCTGGCGCCCTACAGGGTGTTATAGGCACTGGAAATTATATAAAAAAAATATAAAAAAAAACCCTGCCTTGTTAGTGGTTGTCGTAAATATACCGTTTCTACTACGGGATGTTGTCCTGATCATTCGGGTAGATTTTATTCGCTAAATTATCGAATGAGGCTGAAGTATGGGGCTGAGGCCCTTCAACCCAAAATCCCTGAAGCTCCAATTTCCGAGTCAGATGATAGTAGTGCTTCGATCCATGAATACTTGTTTCCCGCTTCTTTACAACTATTCGCAGACTCGTTAGGAAGAAATTTAACAGATTCGATCCCGGTCAAAATACTAGGTGATAGGGTTGTAATTAAAAGCTTAGCTCCAGAGCCACCCAGAATCTATGAAGCTCCCATTTCTGAGTCAGATGATGAAGACGATGAGGATATGGGTCTTGACCTCTTTGGGGATTAGTGGTTAGCTTGAAATTTGGAGTATTAGGAATCCTCTCTGAATTATCTGCCAGAAAGTAAGCAAATTTTTTTTCATTTATATTATTAAGTCGAATAGCACTATTTTTTATAGTATATAGTTGGGTATTTTTCTGCGAAAATATTATATAAAATAATAGCAAAAGAATACCTTAGCAAATAGTATAAATCGAGGGTAGTATTCTGCGTAATCTATTATATAAATATTGGCAGAAGACTACCCTATATGAAGAACAGTATTAGCACATATCAAATAGATCCTGAATATCTTCTGTAATTTGCATGGTGTTCTCCTTGCAGGGTCCGAAAGATGTTTTGCCCGTGTCTGCACTCGTATTACTGGCTGTGGAAAACACTGGACTTCACATGAAAAATTATGAAAAAAAACCCTGCCTTGTTTGTGGTTTCCCTACTATTTCCATTACA